ATCTTATTAGTAATTAGTTACACTACAGTAAAAAGTAATATTATTTGTTGCTAGAAACTAGTTACTGCCCAACACTGGTTAACACATAATTTGAGATTGAGAAAAGGCAAATAATGTTGCTAATAATGTCTAGTGACCAGTGTAGACGGATTTGGGCTGTTTTATTTTATTTATTTTTTTTCTAACATACTTTTCTCAGTTGTCAAGGATCATTAAACATTTTAGTGCATATGGTATTATATGAAGTTTAAAAAGTTCTGCACAACTTGTGGAAAATGTGAAAAAATAAAAAAGACTATTTACATTTGCAGAGTGACTTACATAAACGTTCATACATGGCTCTTGTTCATATTTGCTTCAGTTCCCTCTTGAAATCCAAGTCTTATCGTGTGTGAAGCTGTTATCAGGAAAGAAAGGCTGGTTGTTTAGAGGACCCTTTTGTCTTGAATGTTAAGATAGCCAACGTTTCATTTAGGTTAAGTCCCATTCAGGCACATTCACCGATCGGCAGTTCATGTGACTCTTCTGACTTTTAAACAAGGCAAGTTTATTTAGCACATTTCATAATGGTAATAAGTGCTTTAAATGAACATTTTTAAGTAATCATATCATTATCAGATGTATAAGAAAAGACTCTTAAAAAAGAGAGAAGAATAGCTACATAAGATGATACAGAGCAATCAGAAGGACTCTGCGCTCGTTCAGTAAACAGATGTGTTACTTTTAGTCTGTATTTATATGTGAAGTCTGTTGTAGTACATCTGATCTCTTCTGGAAGCTGTTTCCTTCCAGCTGACTTGTTTTGAGTGAAACCTTTTGAGTGTAGGCTACCAAAGACGATAGCATGCAAAGGAAAAAATGTGTTTAAGTACGAGATCAACACAAAATTACAATGGTTTGTAGGAAGAAAAAGACCACAATAAAATGCTATGATTGTTATGAATGATTTAATCGCCTTTGCTACAAAATTGGTCATATGAGCATTGAGCAATATTGCTCTAAGCAATAAGTATCTCTTCATATAATGTATGAATATATTCTATTTACTTCTGGGTTAAACCTGCTGTTGTGAAATAAAGTTAAATCAATCAAACGCAACTTGATTATTATTTGGGTCGGAACTGAAAATGTCCCATGAGTTCACCCGACGGAGTTTCAGTGACGGACTATCAACAATACGAACGTTATGGTCTGTCTACTCTTATTGTAAACCGGTTTTTAGTTAGTTTAGCAGGAGTCACAACCAGACTGTTATCTCGGCCTCTATTTTCTCATGATTTAGTGTAAACATTTGTAATTTGTGGGGAGCATGCCAGCGTTGGTTATCGCTCATAGTAGAGTTAACTTGCACGTTGTCGGTTACAAGATAAGAGCAACTTCTCAGAAGTCCTCGCCCTTTACATCACGCAAGGTAACTTTGTGAGCACTTAAACGCTAATTACAACATAGAGTAGCATGTCCCTGCATTTGGTCACGGTAAAAGTGCGAATTAAATCGATATGAGTTTTGCCCGGAGCGTGTGGTTTCCATAGAAACGACCCCAATTCATGTTCAATTCATTTGAAGGTCATGAGTACAACAGAACTGTTCTCGCTAGATCCGTGGATGCTTCTAAGCAAACTGCATGTTCATTTTTGACTTGACAACTCAACACTTTGCATTATAGGTACTATATGCATATTAAAATGCGTGTATTCTAGTTCCCAACCCTTTACTAGTGCTTTTTGCCCATACAGGAGTGTATTTTTCGGACTTTATAGCACACCACCATGGTGCTGAAGATCTTCTTTCCCCAGTGCTGTAACACTGCCGAAAGCGGCCTGCTGGTTGGGCGCTGGATCCCAGGTCACGATTCTGCTGTGGTTCTGGCTGTCATTCACTACCCCTTCATACCGGGTCAGGTGAAGAAGTACTTGAGTGAGCTGCAGAGCCAGACTCAGGTGGATCTGACTGTCCTGGGCTCCTGGAGTATGCCCAAAGAAGGCCAAGAAGGAATGGACAGCTTCCTAAAAGACCTGAGTACCGTCTTTCCTCAGAAATGTTGGCTGCAGTTGAGCCGCGAGATTGGCAAAAGAGGCTTTACTTGTCAGGTGGTCCAAAACAATGGGAAACTTCTGCAGGACCAGGAGCAGAAGAACGGCGATGATAAGATCATCCTCGTTCATTACGACCAGAGGAAGGTTATGCTGTCCCAGCTTCACCCTGTACAGGATGTCGGCCAGAAGTCTGATGTTGAGCCCTCAGAGCTGCGCTTGGTCTTCCTGACAGTTGCTCAAAGTCAGCCTCTCTTTTTCCTGGACAAGTATGACGACGGGCCTCTCAAACTCACCCACTGGCAGTCTGAAGGCAGGGAGGCTAGTATTATTGCAGAGCTTCTAAAACAAGTGTCAGTTCCGGTCTGCATCTTCCTAACATGGCTGCTGTCTCTGTGGCACTGGTTGTGCAGCTTCAGGTGAGTTGATGTGCCTCGGCTTGAACCTGTTGTCAAGACTGAAGAGTGATGATGATAAATTCATTCTCAGATCTTTTGGTATTTTACAGGATTTTGCATTTGCGTCCAGTGCTGTTCATCTCAAGCAAGCTGTCCACCTGTGTTCAGTCCGGATACAGAGCAGTTCATTTCAAGACTGTTTTCTCTCCCAAAAAAGCTGCTACACACATGGAATTCATGAGGTACAGTACTTGGGTCGGTGACATACAAGAGCATCATTGATAACAAAAAGACAAAAATCGGGTTTAAAATACATGTGCCAACTTCTTAGAAGTGTACTCTTTGAATTCATGTTGGTTTCATATGGTTTTGAAAAATGTTTCACTCATTTTGAGAAAAGTTGTAATTTTATGACATTTGTAGTGTAACATTAAGGAAAAACATGTTTTTAAATACTTTTAAATACAAAAATACTTTTGAATGTATACAATAAGAGTTTTTACATCTTTCTCTCTCGGTCTATATCTATATATATATATATATATATATATATATATATATAT